GCAAGCATGTTGAGTCTTTCTGTTTCACCATTTATTGTATTTCCGGACTATAAGTCGCAAATCCGTATAATGAGCCATTTCTGCGGAAAAGTTAGTATATAAGTCGCACCTCTTTGCACGGTTCATGCGATTAATTTTTTCGTTTTATGCACATCGGTATTGTGAAATTGGAGTTTCGCATAATTGGCTAGTCCACATTCCTGTTTGTCGTACAACAACTTCGACGTTTCGACTTGCGAGCAATGCCCAAAGAATGGCACTGTCTGGCAGGGGCAATTGAGTGTTTCGTAGAAAAAGGATATAAAGCATGCAAAATAAAAAGGTAGTTTGCTTTATTCGAGTGTGCACATGCTGAGTAAACGTAAGTTTGACGTGCCAGACACTCGTGAACCATGCTTTTGGACCACTAGGCCTAGCCTAGGCCAAGTCACGGAGACGACACGAGCATCAGCATGTAGGCAGATAGATAAATCTTGACACACTTTTTTTGGCGCTGCTGAAAGGTCAGCTAGCCGCAATCCTTCCTTTTACATGTAGCAACCAGGGACTTAAACCTTAACCATAACCGAAACTCAAAGCTGTTTAGGAACAAAAATTTTTCAGTAACCGTAGCCGTAACCATAATCGTAAACTATTTACCGGTAACCGATATTAACCGAAAATTAAAAATATTAGTTTTTTCTCGGGAATGACCTTGAGGAGGGATCTTGAAATGTTGTGGCCATTCAACAGAGTTACCGTCAGCGAGTGGTGCATCTTGTAATACATTTCCGTTTAATCTAACTTTGGGGATTAAAGGAACCATGAAGGCAATTTAATTTTTTTTTTTTAAATAAGGTGTTTTCGGAAGCATTGGGGTCCTGGCATGCCACACAATTTGTTCTAGAACGTTGTGACTCTTATTTCTGTACCTGCAAATAAATTTGCGAAACCGAAACAAACATTCAGATTTCTTTCCTTTTTCGCCTCTGGAAAGAGAAGTGAAGTCGGGGAGCACTGTCGGCATCGGTAGGATTTAGTGCACACTCATTGTGGTTCCCGTGGTTCACTCTAGTGCACGCCGGTCTGTGAAGAAAACCTGGAAGAAATGGACGACAACGCCGCGCTTTCCTCAGACGCGGGAACTTCATGTTTTTACCCAGACTCCGGCTGACGTGAAGGTGCTGCTCAAAGTCTTCTGGTCGGAAATCCAACGAACAAATCCTGACACCGCTATCCACAGCTCTACGCAAGACGACGGCGCGCAACCAAATGCTGTGCATTACTACATCGGTCGGCAGTTTATGCAAACTAACGTCGCCTGATCGACCGCACGTCTTTAGCCGACCTTTCGCGCAACTTACTACTGCACATAAACGCGGCATGATTGGTGAGACACCAGTTCGCAAAGCGTACACGAGACGACGCACGAAACCAAAACCAAGAGTCCGCCGCCCCCGGCGCTCGTACCTCTTTTTTTTTTTTTTTTGTCCATGGTTGCTCGATGCTTGTTACGCACCCGAGGTAGCAGTGCGGGATGCGTTCAACCAGTGACAAACTTAGGGATCGCTTCAGATTATGCTTTTATACACGGTATGAAACCTATTAATTCCTAACTACAACTTCAAAAGATTATCCAACGTTCAAATAAACTTTTTTCATCACATCTCACCACCGAAATCGAAACCAAGAGCGCGTCTATCCTTTGAACCAATCGCCAGACGAGGAGCCCGTTGTCGTCACGCTTCTACGGCGCACTTTAGTTAACCTTTCTGCCGCCGCCTCGGTGGGGTCTCAGGCATCGTTCCCGGCGCCATTATTACCGCGCCTGTTTGCTCGATTGGTGCGGCACCCAAACTTCTGTTCGGGCCAGAACTTGGTCAACAGTATCTGAGACGTGCCTGACATCCATTTCAATCGTCGAATAAAACTTCGAAACTGCCTTCATGGTCCCTTTAAGAATACTTAGTTGGAATCAGTGGTCGAGCTTATAATGAAAAGTCTCTATTTATAAATCTGTCGCACGGCTACAATCGCTACATGTATTCAGTTTGTGTCGCCTTTAGGGTATTAACTAATAAGTTAGAATTCTGAGATGTCCATCCAACTCAGTTCTTTCAAAACCACCGATGTTCGTGACCTGCAGTAGTCAGTATGAAGAAACGAAATAAATTGACCATCATGGAGAGCTCGCGGCAAACAAAACCTGCTATTTATTTCGCCTAAATCGGGTCGTAAGTGACAATTTTCAGAACAACACAAAAGAAAAAAAGAAAATGTTTAGAGGTTTTACATTGAGGTTTAGTGTAAAGTCACTGACAGATATATATCTTTTTGCGTTTGCATTTTATTTCCATTTTTTTGTGTCTGCAACCATTTCTAAAAAAAATTTTTTAAAGCTAATGGTGAAAGGAGCGAGCGAATACAACAAGTTGCGAGCAGCACTGGCGGGTATGGTGTGACAGACCCGTTATTACAAATTATTGGGGAAAAAAAAAACAGTTTTTAGGAACGTGTAATTAAAACCCTAAAATATAAGTCGCACTGTTGTTTAGCAACAAGGACAATGTTCGAAAAAATAAAACTCAAGTTATGCTCCACAAAATACGGTAAATAGTTACAGCTTGTTACATTTATAAATATAATGCAACCACCATTTTTCGTATATGCATCAGAGTAAAAAACACAACCTGCTTTTAGTATGCGAGTGATGTTTGTGACTCTAGAGGCCATATGCAGTTTAAGTCAGAAATGTGACCACATTTTAAAGTGGTGGCTTTATACGGCCAACCAACCTCAGGAAACGCGTAAACGCGAAATGTGTAGATCGGACAGTCCGTAACCGCTAAATGGCAACCAGAACTAGGGATTGAACCCTGGTCACCCGCATGGATGTTTCGTTACCAGTAGCCTATTGAAGGTCTCTTGTACTTATATGGCTGGTTCACACACTTGTGTCTGCTTACGACCGCGTGCCTTAAGACCTAAAAATTTTTGCGACAAGAGAATGCACTGGCGCCATCTATTGGGTGGCCGTAAAAACACCTGCAGTTACCGTAATTAAAATATTTTTTTGCGCGTCCTTCTTTTTTTATTATAAAAAAGCTTTTGACAATGTCATAAACGACCGTTTCTCATAGATAGCGCATACATTTGACCTCGCGAGTACCGCAAAACCTTCTTCCTAGTGAAACACAGTTCCAAGGTCACCTCATACATGGCGCCAGCGGGACAGTGCATTCCCTCATTATAAGAGATTGCAAGAACTTGGTCTTAAGCAAATGCAAATGTGTGAACAGGCCTTTACAGGTGGCTCTCTGGTCTTGATTGTAGGTCGACCTCTAACTGTAAAAGGTGGTGCCGAGAGGAAAACAAAATAGCAGGCCTATATTTCAATGAAGGTGAAGGTAGCTCGGTTCCCATGCACGAGTGAAAGGGTGCCGAACTGTGACTCAAATTTGACTTCAATGCCACTAACTCTTGCAGAGTTAGAAGAATGTCACTTTTGAAGCACAACTGTAGTCTTTGGTAATATTTAGTGATTGTGGCTTTCACAGTCTATGATTTTTGGAATCTTGAGTTTGGTTAGTTCATAACACTTGAGGGGAACATGTTTCATTGATCGACGTTTCAGCGGATATGGTAGTTTTTCTCCAAGTTCGACGTAAAGGATATTGACAGGCTACTTAAACTATGAATGGAAAAAGGGGAGTGGCAGGGATGCTTTGTCTCAACTGAAATGTTTTGGGGCCCTAATCTATATGATTGGATCAGGCAGGACCGGGACATCACTGCCTGCTGCGATTGGTCAGTGGTGTGGAGCTGACCAATCGCAACAAGGGGTGATGTCCCCTTCCCTTGGTCCCGGTTGGTCCCGCCTTGTAGATCAGGGCCCCTGCTCTGATGAACTTTTCAATCATTTTTGTTTTTTCTTGGTCCCCATTGTTGTACATATACAGAGCCTACTGTGACCTTAGCCAAATTTCTAAGAAGAAAGTTGGCTGTTCATTTTGTACTTTTTATTACTATGTTTAAATATTATTTACAACATGTAATAAATATTTCCATTCATTATCAAAGGTGAACCCTCTATCATTACCAATGGTTGACTGGTTTAGTGATGCTATCATTGTTTGATTTTCAAGGGATGTGCTTGCATATTATGGAATCTGCTGTTAACTTTTTGAGATCCTCGTTCTATGGTCATAACTCAGTCTGCGAGCTCTAAGCATCCTAAAAAGCCCAAAATTACATTCATATGCATATTTGCAATTTAAATTTTGATTTGCATATTTAAAAAGTTACCAAAGTTCCCGACACTTACTGTAGGTGCAGAATGACAGATGGCGCTATTGAACCTTGCTGAATATGGTCAAAAAACAGACGGCACGTGTCAGCCACTCGCAAGCGATGGGTTTCCACATAGACGGGCAGGACTAGTCGGCCGCTCGTCCACATGGGAACCCATCGCTAGCGAGTGGCTGACACACGACGTCCGTCCTTCGATCATGTTCAGCAAGGTTTGGTAGCGCCATCTTTCATTCTGCGCCGACGGTAAGTGTCGGGAACTTTGATCACTTTTTTCATATGCAAATTGTCCATGCATGATTGTAATTACGGTCTTTTTAGGATGCTTAGAGCTTGTAGATTGAGTTACGACCATAGAATGAGGATCTCAAAAAGCACTTTAGTGCCCTTTGAAAGGGTCAATGGCTCCTTCATATCAACGCTTTGCCTACTACAGGACCTGCTACAGGACGTGGTTTGCAAAACTTTAAAGTTTGTTATATAGATTGGCTTTCCAGCTTGTGTGGATGACCGTTAGATATTTATGCTTAGGTCCTGCTTTCCGCGCTGTAGAACAACCCAAACTCCTATTGTTGATTTCACCCCGTACGCCTCACCAACTAGACGTGCTTCGTCATTTTGCCCCACGGTGTGGCGCCACCTACCCCCCAAAAGCGGTTCCTAGTGTGGCGACCTGACAACCGACGACTGTTGTCTCTGGTGGGGGGCCCCAGTGTCTGCAGCTGGCTCCCTGGACCCGCTGCACCCGTACACTTACTACCGCTACTCAGCACCGGACGTGGGCGTCGGCCAGCTCGACTGCAGGTCAGCCCAGGTCTTTGTCTGGGGGAGACATGGGGTTGCCAGACCGAAGCTGCAGGGTGCATATTTGTTTATATAACGTCATTACATAAAGTTGTACCACAAAATAAGATAACATGAAATGCAAACATCAGCTCAGAAAAACAGATTGTTTTTCTGAACTGATTTCCCCATAATTTTATTTATTGCCTACTGCCGACAAAATGAATGGATAGTTCAGGTGAAAGGGCAGAAAGGGAAATAGAGCTCACCTCCCACATTTCAAAGAACAAGCAAAAATTTCTTAACAGATTAATATAAAAAAAGTAATAATTATCAAAAAGTCTCAGAAACCTGTATAAATGTGCACCTTCACTGCACACAGTGTACAGAAAAAGCAAATGCGCAATAACATACGAAAAACTTGGAGGGCGCTTAAACACCGTCTTTAACCTTTTTGGGGTCATGCTACTTTTCCCCCCAGAATTAGTCAGAGTTAGTTTGAGCGAAAAAAGATCAATCAACAAACTACTTCAAATTTAACTCTCTAATATACTACGATCAGTTGGTTCAGTTTGAAATAACTCTGCATTCTCTTGAATGTTTTCATTTGAATTATTGAGCTATAGTAGCGGTATTTGTGCAACGTAGGACACTTATAGAAGCAAATGCCGCGGTGCAAGCCAGGGTGTCGGAACGCAGGTTTTCAGTAGAAAACAGTTTCACGTCTTTGCCCTTTGACTTTCCCATCACTGCAGACGGCACAGTCTTTGCTCTTGCCTCCATCTAGTTTGTAAATATAGCAGTTTCGTCGGCACCCCCAGCCTTGTGATTTTCTCTTTGGCATAGTGGTTGGTTTTGTTGACTATCTCATTTAACAAGGCGCCAGTGAAAAAAATTGACTGCATCTCCATGTGGGAATGATGTTGATTGGGGCGAAGCTCTGGTGGTGCTTGTCTGCGTAGGCGCTGAGCTGCAGCATGCCGAGCCTTTCGTTCGTTTTTATCCATGTCAGAAAGAGAATGTGTGGTATAGAACATGGTTATATATGCATTTGAGCATTTGACGGCTACGCCCTTTCGTTGAGCCAATGCATGCAAAGTTTAACGTGATTATATACGCATTTGACCGCAGCACCCTCCTGTATAGACGTGGAGCGGCTACATGCAACGTTTCATTCATGACATCCCTAGCTCTTGAGTTACTACTACATCTCGGAGCCCCCTACTCGTCTCGCAGTCGTGGTCGAGTGGTTAAGGCAATGGACTAGAAATTCATTGGGGTCTTCCCGCACAGGTTCGAGTCCTGTAAACTGCGCAAACATTTTTTTTGCATCATTTTTTTTTTTTCCCTACACGAGCACGTGAGCTCACGAGCACGAGCTCGAGCACCAGCAAGATCGATTTGAGCACGGACGCCGAACAGACAAGGCTAGACCCTAAGAAGCTTCGCCCCTAAAAACACTGGAAGTGTTTTAGCTTATTTGTGGGTTTTGGGTTGCACGGCTTGGGGACCCGCATTTTGAGCAATAAAACGGTGAGTCTCAAAATCTCAATCTGTGTTCAATTAGGATGTCCAGCATAGAGGATCAACGGCATGTTTGTCTGTCGCCTCATCACTTTCTATTCTCTCATCACTCTTTGAAGATTCGTCAAAGAATATCTGGGAGGCCTCCTTGCCTCCTTGAGATCGTAGCTGTCTTTACTGCTAAAATCACCTTCACAGTCCCTTGGGTCACAGGCCTGTCTGTAAAATGCAGACGGAGTAAAGGCGGTTATGTTGAACACTCAAAGGCAGGTGAAAGTGCCCGCCCGCGCATCTAGCAAAAAGGGAAAAAAAAAAAAAAGTGTCTTATTCCTTACGTTTCTTGTTGGAGCGACGAAAAACTAAGTATGCGTAGCATTATAGCGGTAGCATTATCGGGCCCAGTTCGCATTGCCTTCTCGTTTGCTTTTCTGTTGCCACTGTCACCTTATGTTGGCTTCGCGGGCACGCACATAAACATATAAACTCCAGCTGGTTCCCAAGCCATCGAAGCGTGCCTTGCTTGGACTAGTGAGTAGCTTGTCTGGCTCGCAACCAAAGAGTTGTGGGTTCGGATCCCGCCTAAAATTCTTTATATTTTTTCTTTAGGGCAAATGAATTACTTCATAAAGGGAAATCGATTGCGACGTGCGGCAAACATGTCATGGTTTAGTCGCTTTCATTCCACGCGCGACATCATGTTTCACGTAAGCATTGTGCGTTGTTTTGAAATTCCCACACAAGGTCATGTGACTGTGACTTCATGACCTCGTCGACCAATCAAGACTTTCCGTCACGCCACCAATGCCGGCTTTTCTGGGACACGAGCTCCTTAACGCTGTCACGTTAAACCACTGACACTGGGCAGGATAGGAAAAAAGCTAGCAAGCAAAAGTGCACTGCCACAGTGCAAATTAACCAAGCAAAGAGAATAACCAGTAAAAAAGAGTTCAGAACACTGTGCATTGATGTGAATATAATACACAAGCATTTAAAATGATAAGCACCGCCGTGGGCAAACTAAAGGGATTACACGGCTGAAAAATAATGACTGTAAAGATGTTCAAGGTGCATTGTCTACTAATGAGACAAAATCAGTAGCCAATTTGTTTACGTGAGACTGAAAAGAACAGGATCAGTGATAGTAACAGCTGATTTGAAAAGGTTGTTCCACGGGAAAGTCATACCGGGGAATTCAAAAAGAAGTCGTAAAAGCGAGCGACTGACCTTGTGAACACTTCGCACGGATTGATGTGCGATGACGATCTAAACAGCTTTGATTGTACATCCTTATGAAATTAGGGGACATGTTAGTAAATTTGTGTACAAGATATAGTCATGCCATGTTACGCCAGGATTATAGGGAGGGAGCGAACACCGAATTAAGATTGAAGTGCAGACACACTGACAACGCAAGAGTGTGCCACCATCATGAAACAGACGGCCTGATTTTGCGCTGCTTCTGTATGGTTGGTCAAGTATGCCAGCAATGGGTTCCAGATGGCAGGTTTAAATTCGGGTTGGGGACATACACACATTTCGTAAGCAGTAAGGAGCCAAACGTCTCCAAGTGTGGATGATACATTGGCAGGTATTGACTCTATGTGATCTGTTGAAGATAAGTTCAACAACAGATCATCACTCGGATGTTGGATGCACGACAGTGGAAGTTGTTCGTGAAAGACGGTACAAGGTGTGCAGTGCATTTGGTGGTACAAGGTGTGCAGTGCATTTTGCTACCACGAGTGCAGGGATTAAGATGCTAGTGCAAGATTATGCCATAAGTGTGGAGTTACGTAGCCAGGGCGGAAATTGTGGCACAAGTACAGACATGCACCACAAGCAATGTTCCTCGATGGTACCTCATCTGTAGTGACGGCAGCCATCTTGAAGAAAAGTCCCAGAACTGTGAAGCATCGCGGGTGTTATCTGTATCGGTCACAAAGAATTTTTGTAATACTTGATTTGGAACTAGTTGCTCGATTCCTGTCTCTCAAAGCTCCTTATTGCAGAATTGACACCTGACCTTCCTTGTGTTTTGTTACTTTGATGGCCAAGAGTGTTGTAACAAAAAGAAGTAGTGTTCACCAAACGGACAAGAGGTAGAAGCTACCCAGCCTATAATGCTCCCGGCCGCTCTCATCAGACACTCACGTGGGCACCGAAACAATATTGTCTATCACCACAGTAATGCTGTCCAGCATATCCACATATGCTGAGGGTCCTGCTTAGCATTTAGTTCAGCGACTTGCCTGGATGCACCTTTGCACCAACGTGAAAGTTGCTCACAGTCATTTTGATGCTATAGCAGCAATGAGATAGATAAGAAAACCTAAAGCTTTCAAAACCTAAAAAGTAAAAAAGGTTTGTCATTAGAATAAGCGGAAAGTTACGTAAAAGGCGATAAGGGGATGACATATCTTTTCAACTGGCGAGCTGGAGAGATGTTTCATGCTTTTTTGTTGCATTTTAATTAGTCTTTATAACTTTAGAAGCACGCTCCAATTTCTTAGGTTCACCTTTGCTCTACGCCAATGTTTTATAGTTTCAAAGCTACAAGGTTTCTACTCAAGCTTTCTATTCCCTAGCTCTGCTTCCTAAAAATAGAAAATTTCAGGAGACTGTGAAACATCTTTTTTTAAATTTTGTATAAATACTGTTCAAACGTAGTCCCCTGCGTATATGATATGCATTCTTTTTATTTTTTTTTAGCTCGATGTGCCGACCGTTTGTTGCACATGAGAGAAAATTGAGCGGTATTAACTTCTTCAATTCCTGGCCAGAACAAGCTGTCAAGTGTTCTTTCGTGCTGGCTCCCACAGCCAAATATTTCAGCCATACGCCTGGATTGGTGATGCTCACAGCAGATGTTGTGCTCCGGACTTTGTTAAGGTTTGCTGATTTCCAGCACTGCATCAATTAGCCGCAACCAACAAAATCTGATTACTTGCAGTGGAAGACATATTTCTGGCTTCTTATGCTCATGGTCCAGTCTCTCTTCTGTCTCACTACATGATATGCAGTGAGTAAAATTCTAACCCAATACCCTTTGGTGGTCCCTTTATGACCTGCTGCAGTTGTAGCTTCTCACTTTTGTATGTAAGATGTGTATAAATGTCGTAACACATTTACTAGTATTTAGTTTTTTTATAAAAAAATATGATGTTCATCTTGAGCAAATAAATTATTATTTGCTTGTGACTTTTTTTTTTTTTTTAATGTTTTGTTAGCATATTGTTACGAATGAAAAGTAAAGATGAATTCAGAACTGAAATATGAATGTTTCATGAGGCAAACTTGCGCCTACGAACTAAAACAGAAGATGTCGAGCATCCTGCATCGTCGACGGAAGGGTGGCTGTCCCGAAGCAGTCAGCTACTGCTGCTCTCATAAGCATGGTCACTTCAGGAACGTTCTGAACCAGAACACACAATGACAGCCGAGAGGGAGCTGAAACTTTCCAGAAGAGTACAGAATTACAAAAAGAAGAACCTGGTTAA